TTTGAACTGATGAAGAATCACATTTATGATGAAGACTCTCACCACTGGAAAACACTCAGGACAACTGCATTTCTTCCAGCATATTCACCTGGTGATACAAAAATGGAAGGAAATGTAACACTTAAAAGGCCCACTGATGTTTTTAGTGACAAATGCTCCCTTCTCGTTAACATGACACAACCAGTGTTGGATCATACTAATCTAAACATACACAACACAGATCCAGTTCTACAGATTTTAGGAGTTCACAGCACTCCAAAACTACAGATGGTGCTTCAGCAGTTGCACCAAACAAGCACACAAGCACACTCTATTGACAGATCCATGCTTTACAAAATAGCATCTGAGTGCTATAAGTTTCTGGATCAGTGGATCTCTCATTTTGGAAACGCTTACATCCCACACTGGGCATACTCATTTCCATTCATCCTCATTGGGGAAACATTTGTGAATGTTGATCGTGTAGCTGAGAACGGGCAATTTGAAGCAAAGCCCTATCTCCACGTACTTCCAGCTGCCTTCACAAGCTTCAGGAACCTCTGGACATGTATAGGTGTTGAAAAACAATTCACGACCACTCAGCTTCTAACTGTGTTGCAGGAATTAAAAGCTCAACATGGAAACCAGCCCCTACCAAAGAGTGATCTCTCAATTGTCCTCACAATTTTAAATAAAGGGATATTTGAGGCCAAATTGAAAATCACGCATGACTGTCTGATACCCAATGAGCATGGAGTTTTGCAACCTGCAAATGAGCTGTTTTACAATGACAGCCCATGGATGCCACTCACTTCAGGTGTCACATTGTGTCACGAGAATATCCCACGTGTTATGGCTCGCCACCTTGGAATCAAAACAACAAGGCATCATACTTTGGAAAACCACACATTTGATGACCTTTCACCATTAGCTTTTGAGTTTGAACAGCAGGAAGAACTCACTGTTCGTATTAAAAACATAATTTCAGCCTATCCATCAAAGAAGGATATCCTTAAAGAGCTCATCCAAAATGCTGATGATGCAGAAGCAACAGAAATTCACTTCATCTGGGACAAAAGACAACATGGGAAAGTAAAAACATTTGGGAAGAAATGGAACAATCTCCAGGGTCCAGCACTTTGTGTGTTCAACAACAAAGTGTTTTCTGATGCTGACATTAAGGGAATTCAACGGCTGGGAGAGGGAGGAAAGCACAGCACCCCAGGGAAGATAGGCAAGTACGGAGTTGGATTCAACTCTGTTTACCATCTGACTGACTGCCCTTCGATCCTTACAGGAGATGAAGTACTTTGCATTTCTGACCCCAATCAAAAATACATTGAAAATCATTCAAATAAACCACGATATGGCATTGGCTATAAACTAGCTGACACTTTCAAAGAAATGTACGTAGATGTCTACAAATCCTTTCTTCATGACAAATTTTCTCTTAAAGACGGCACCATGTTCAGATTACCTCTGAGGATGGGTACAAATGCAAATACCTCCAAAATATCACAGCAAGGAGTCACTGACCGCGACATGAAAGAACTGTGCTCTGCCCTCTCTGAAGATCCTGAAGGACTAATTCTCTTTCTGAAAAACATCTGCAAAATCAAAGTCCATGAAATCAGTGAAGATTCACAAGAACTTAAAACCATCTTTGAGGTTGAAAAAAATCTGCCACAGAAAAGTCGGGACGAGAAAGATGCTTTTGTAAAACATCTACAAAATGCACTGCAATCAGACAAAACAGCAACACCGCACAAGACTTTCTATGAAACTGTGATTTCCACCTCAGATAAAAGACAAAGTAAGTGGATTGTTGCAGAACAGTTTGGCTCCTTCAAATACAATTTTCTCTTGAAAATATCAGACAAACTTCCCCAAGCATCATTAGCTGCACGTGTGAACACAAAAGGATCCAGCGTCATGGATTTTAAAGGAGAAGCCTTTTGTTCACTTCCTTTGCCAGGGAAAACTGGACTGCCAGTACATGTCAATGGAAACTTTGAGGTTGATTCTGCCAGGAGAAGCCTTTGGAAAGAAGATGGGAAGAGTAAGAAATCAAATTGGAATGAGATTTTGAAACAGAACGTCATTGCACCACTGTATGCAGATCTCCTGCATTACATCAGGTGCAGCATTGCAGTTAAGAAAGTTTCCCTTACATTTATTGAATCATGTTTCAGTACAGAATACTTGTGTTTTTGGCCAACTGTGTCCAAGGATGTTTGCCCAGACTGGCATGAAATGATACATGGAGTATACAGATCACTGAAAGAAAAAGGCCTTGATGTAATCCCTGTGATGAAGAGCTCAACACGGAAAATTGCAGATAAAAAAATTAAAGAATACTCTTTTGACTGGTGTAATGTCAGCGAAACAGACTCACTTGAGGACCCTTATCTGACAAACCTGACAAACTACAAGCTGATGCCCATCTTGGAAGATCTTGGGATGAAGCTGGTTCCTTATTCCACAAACATGCAGAGGATTTGGAAAAGTTTCAGATCTGCTGAGGTTGAAGTGAAAGAGGTCAGTCCCTCCACTGTGCAGACTTTCCTACGAGCAAAACCTCTCAATGATCCAACCCAAACAGATGAGGATTTGCCTTTACCCATAAGTGCCACTTTGATCAAAGATGAGACAAGATGTTCGGAGCTCTTGAGTTTTTGTTTAAAAGATTTCTCCTCACAAAAGGTCACCCAGGACAATTCAAATTTACTTGATGGGCTTCCGCTTCTTCTCACAAGAGATAAAGTATTGACAGTTTTCAACTCCCAGTCACCCAAGTTGATATCAAGATATGCAAATCTCTTCTTTGGCTGTGAGGAAAAATTTGCAGATTATCACACAAACATTCAGCACATTCGTCTTCTACAAACTTTTAACTTTGTCAAAACGTTATCATTGCCATGTGCAGCAAGAGCTTTGAAACCATTTGTTCGGCATCTTCTTGAGAACTGCTATGTTGATCCGCACAGTGGTCTTCATGTCCCAAATGAGACAATGTTGGAGTGGCTGAAATCACTTTGGATGTTCATAACAAGTGAAATTAAACTACCAACATCTAGAGATGACGAGTCAAGTCTGACACTAAGTGATGTGAAGAAACTCTTCAGCGACTGCTACATTTTACCTGTTGTGTGTCCAAGGTTGAACAACAAGCACTTTCTGCAAACAATGAAACACATGTCAAGTGTTGTGTTTGCCTCACAGAAACACAAAGACATATCAGGCATCCTCTTCAAACTTGGTTTTATGAGGTTTGATCATGTTTTCTTCTCTGAGGTGGACCGACGGGTATATTCATATCTACAGCATGAGCTTCTCGATGTAGATGATCAAAGCTCAGTGTTGGATCAAATGTACAACATTAATCGCTCAGAGTTTTCCCACCTTTCAAATGATGATATGAAGGAGTTTCAGATGTTCCTGCAATCAGGATTATCCAAGTTCAAAGTCAGCCAAGAGTATGTGAGGAAGCTCAAATCCTTACCAATATTTGAAACAACACAAGGTGAACGAGTGAGGATTGATGGACCTAAAAAGGTTTTCATCCTTAACATCAAATATTCAGTCATATTTCATGATTTGTCCAACCTACACACAAACAGCAGCATCTTTCTGAAACACAACTCTGAGAACTACATGCTGTCACAAACACTCAACATTCAGGTCCTGAATGATTTGGAGTATTTCATGAAGTTCATTCTGCCTGCTGTACACCAACTCACAGAGACACAGATTCTTCACAGCCTCAAACTGTTGCTGTCACTACATTACTCTTCAGAGGACAAGAAAACTATCATCTCCTCACTGAAGACGGTGAAACTGATTCGCAGTTCTCAAGGTAGACTGGAGCCTGCATCATACTACTTTGATGAGAGTGTGGAGCTGTACAAACAAATGTTGCCCCACGAAAGATTTGTTCCTGAGAGATTTTGGTCTGAACTGTGTGAAGGAGATAGTTATATAAAAAAACAAGCAAAAGAGCTGGTCAGAGAACTTGGAATGAAGCATGTTGTGTCAGCAGACGAGATAATACATTTTGCTTACCAGCTGGAATCAGAAGGAAAAGTTAACAGAAGACTCAAAGACATGAAACTAAAATCATCATTACTTTTCAGGGAAGTCTTAAATAAAGCATGCAACATCAAAATTAAAGAGCAACATTTTTTGGAGAGGATTGCCGACATCAAATTCATTTTTCCAATAATGATTCGAAAAGAACTGTCCAACTACCACCAACCATTTGCTGCTGAAGGAACTATGGTGAAAATTAGAGGCTCTTTGATTGAGAAAAAACCTGAGCATCAAGATTTGATTTGGTCCTCAATGCCAATTATAGACCTACCAGTTTACACAACACAGAAACTTATGCAGATGATAAAAAATGCAGGAGCTCATGAGGAACCACCTCCAAACTGTGTAACCAGTAACATAAGAAACATCTGTCAGTCACCATGTGAAACTGACCAGCTGATCAAAACACGAGCTAAAGTGTTCAGAAGTTCCTACGCTTACCTGCAAGCAAAAAGATTTGAAGGAAACCAGCTGGCTGGTCTTCCTGTTGTGTTGGTTGAAAAAGACACAAAACTTATGAGGCCTGATGACATGTGTCTGTCACTCTCCTATGATCTGGACTTCAGACCATATCTGTACAAGATTACTCCAGAAGATGCAATGTATGCACCGTTCTTTCAGAAAATTGGTGTGAAGAACGAAGCTACTGCAGAACAATATTGTAATGTTTTGGCAGCAGTTTACGCTGATTCCTGTGATAAACAGAAACTACATTCGAACCAGCTGAGAACTGTGAAACGAGCTGTTGAGCAGTTGTTTAAGTCAATCAAAACTCACGGAAACCAGACGCTTCTTGAAAATGTTGAGACTTTGTATCTTCCAGCAGTAGATGGTAAATTATACCCATCATCCACACTCTGCTACAACGACACAGTGTTTGAGACCAAAAGGTTGGAAGAAGCGCTGGAGAACAAGTTCCTGCTGCTTGAGAAACTCAGTGAATGTCATTTGGGCAACGACAAATACATGCATCATCAGCTGTTGGAACTGCTGCCTCAGAAATTTCAGCCAAAGATGCTGTCTGAGTTCACAGAGGAAAGAGTTGTGGAATCAGAGATGCAGCTTTGTACACTTGGGACTGGCTGTGAATTTAGTGGATGGTTTGCTAAACATCTCTCCTCAGGAGCCTTTAAATATGGATTCATTTGTCTTATTAGAGAGCAGTTGCAAGGCAAAATAACACAAGAAGATGCTTCTAACATATGTGAGAAGATTTTTGGCAGTATACAGATTATCTGCTGCAAAACATTGGAAACAACACTCTGGCTCAATAAACAGCCACTTCCCAAAACTGATGAAGAAACTGATGTATCTGTGGAACGAGGGCAACAAGGATGCACCTTTTACTTAAAGCACAATGATGACATGGCTCCCAAGGTAATAAATGAAGTCATTACAACATTGACAAAAGAGATTAATGCTCTTTTAGGAAACAGAATTGCATCGGTTCATCTTCCAGTGCTGGGACAACTCCTCATGTGTGATGATCTGCAAGATGTTCGAAAAACTCTGGCTAAAAATCAGATCCGTGACAGTGCTGAAACTGAAAGTTCCTCTTTTAGTCCAGCAGCCCCTGGGACAGAAGTTCCAGGAGAATGGCATGATTGTTTGGACATGAATGTCTTCAACAACTTTGAAGAGGGGGAATATGTTGGCTACAGCATTGATGACAAGTACATTTATGCAGTTATTGTTGAAGAACTGCCTGGTCACAATGGACGATATTCATGGAGATACAAAATAGAAGTAGGAGAAGATGAGCCCATTGAAGTCAGCTGTGTTGATCTGTTTCAGTTTAAACGAGAAAAGAAAGTAAAAACAGAAAGGAGGAAATGCATGGAGCCAGGACCACAGAAGAAGATGCTAAAACCAGAAGAAAACACTTGCATGGAGCTGGAACCACTGACAGGAGCTGTGCCACATTCTTCTGAATCATCAATAAATTCCTTACCAGCCTCTGTTCAGGAAGCTAAAAGGGAAATTGATAAATGTTTGGCAGAGATCTGGAGGCTTCCTGAGGAGGAGAGGCACAAAGCCATCAAGAGACTGTACCTCAGGTGGCACCCTGACAAAAATCCGGATTGCCAGTCTCTCGCCAGTGAGGCATTCAAATATTTACAGAATCGAATTGATGAGCTCAGCAAACCCAAAGCTGCAGGCTCAATCTTTTCAAGCAGAAATACACATTTCAGAGGCTTCTATCAACAGTGGAATCAGGAGGCCAGGTATCACAGAAACAGTCGAGAGAGGTTCTCTAGAGGCTCTAGCGGTTTCCATTCCTACAACTTCTGGACCCACAATGAAAATGTCCCAAGGCCAGACAGAGAAGAGGCCAGACGTTGGTGTAGACAGGCTCGCTGTGATCTCAATGCAGCTCACAAAGACACTGGTGGAGGGAGCACAGAGTGGTGTCTGTTTAAGGTCCATCAAGCACTGGAAAAGTCTCTCATAGCAGCATGCTATAAAAGAAATGGACAACGCCCCAACAGCAGCTCAATTTCAGCCACTGCTGCACAAGTTTCCCGCTACAGCCTCCAACTGAGAGATCTGCCTGAGATTGTGAAAAACCTGCAGACACTCGGAGTGGATCCCAAAAAGACTCAATATCCCAACTGCCATCCATATCCTCACATACCGAACGGACAATTCAGATCAGAGAATGAAATGCTGGCACTGAACAAGGCATCAGAGCTCCTTAATAAAATAGAAGCATATGTGAATTAAGGATTTAAGACAGATGGACTATCAATTACTGTGACTGTGTTTTGACATGTTAAAAGGATGATATCTACAATCTAAAGCTCAAATATTATTTAGCATCACAATCAAAATTAAATGATTTTTTTTAAATTGTCTCAGTACTAAAGACTAACCAACTTTTAACGAAGACTGAAATATCAGTGTTTTGTTTATTACTACATTCATTTCCAAATACTTACTGAAGAAATATTCTGTGTACCGTTTTGTTAAGAAAATGTAAAGATCAAATATTCTTTTATTTCCTCAAGTATTCTTGTTTTCTTTTTTATTACTACATTTGTTGACATACAGACTCACATGGCTCACCTGCTTGAGATCCACATACTTATTATAATGAAATGCAAATGTTCAGATTTTGATGTTTTAAACAGTTGTGATCACTTGCCAAAGCAAAATTTAACTAATGTATGTTTAGATGTTTTCCTATGTTTTAAACAAGTTCTACTACTGAGACCCAAGTATATATTTTTACATTTTAATCGTTTATCAGACATAGGAACCAAAACAATACTATATGAATTTGTTATAAAAGGGTTTTTTTGTTTCCCAAAAGGTTTTTAGCTTTGATATAAAAATATATTTAATGTAGTTTTGTTATAAAATACAAATGGTAAATAATTTGGTTGAGCCTTCTCACACCTAAGTAATGGTTAAGATTTTATTGAATTTTTATTTGCTTAAGTGATAAATGAAATGGTAAAATCGCAATCTGTGTCATATTTTTAAACACTTTTATGAAATGATTTCCAGCTTTTTTTATAGTTATTTTTGAAATCTTCTTTGTATCAATTATGAAGCAAGACTTTTTCAAAATAAATCATTCCTACCTTATACTGAGTGTCTCTGTGTGTGATGTTATTTCACTTCATTTTACACCAAAGACTTGTTTATTTTATCTTTTTAACTTGTCACTGTGTGTGAGGTGATGGATGACCTCCGGTTGGTAGCATTTCCCACCACACAAAAGATTTTAGGCATTTGAATCATTACTATTTTTATTTTTATGTTATTTTCAGAAAAATAACTGAAAAGGGGGCACTGTCAATTGTGGCCCAGAGGTCAAAGTATATGAGTGAGAGGGCATTTCCTTTTGAAGCAGCCACAAAAGCAGGAATCTGAGCCGAGACTAGCACAGGTAGGTCTAAAAGTAAACACAAAAAACATATGAGCAATAATTTTTACAAAGTCAGTGTACCACGAAGTGGGGTCATCCAAGTTAGATATTTTCCTTCATGACACATATAACCCAAAGTTTTTCAACTGTCATTCAAACTCACTGTATTTAAAATGAGTCTGTGATATTGTATAACAACATACCTGTTTCTTCCCGTCTTTTGCTATAAAACATGCATTAAACACAGCTGACAATAGTGACAGACATCAAAATATTTATGGAATAAGTGAATATGTGTGTTATGTCCCCACATGAAAGCTAGGCGAAGAGGGTGGGGGACAGTAACAGTTGGATCCGGGTTGAAATGAAAAGGACGCCAGGCAGAGGTGTTTAACACAAAATAAGTCTGTATTATAACCAATGAACCAATAACCATACAAACAGTATCAACACAAAGAGGCAGCAATGCTGCTCCGACGATAAATCAAAGGCCAACCCAAAGAAATGGTGGCCGCTTCAACTCTGAAAACAATTATAAGGATTCAACAAAAAAAAGACAGCAACGCTGCTATAAGTAGTGATGTGACGTTCTGTATCGAGGCTTCAAAGCTTGTGTCGAGTAATGGAGGGGGCATTTCCATGATGCGCGTAACAAGGCTTGCTTCATTTATGGGAGGAGCTGAAAATGATGACGTCCGAAGCCTCGCTGCCCAGCTGTACCATGTGACTGGTTAAAGGAGTGGTTCGAACTTTGCCGCGAGCTATGACAGGGATATAAACCCATCAGACTTCATTCAAAATGTGGGTGTTTGATGCAGAGTTGCGGTTAGTGAGAGTTTGGAGAGAGTTTGGAGGTTTAGGAGAGTGAGGAGAGAAAGTCAGGAGAGAATGGAGCCAGCTAAGAAGAGGAGGATGTCCTCCCCTGTGTGGGAACATTTTGATCTTATTCCTCCCAACAAGGTATGTAAATTTCTACAGAAGATGTATTTTCATAATACTGACGGTGCAATACAATTTATGTTAAGTTCTCTTTACTTTTGTACAAGGTGAAGTATTTGCTATGTGCCGGGGAGCTGAGATATAACAACAACACCTCATCCATGCTTAGGCACTACAGAGCTTTGCATGAGAATAAGGGGAACACCGATTGTGGAGCAAGACCAGGTGAGCCATCAAATGCCATGATAATATAGCATGCAGTAATGTTACTAAATGATATAACAATATTATACAACTGTAATAAGTTACGTGTGTGATATTTATATTTGTGCTTTGTTTTTATTGTCTTTCCTCAGGAGAACAATCTCAAATACATGAAGACCTGGTTAGCATGGTGATTGAGGACTCCCAGCCATTTAGCACTGTGGAGGACAAAGGCTTTAAAAGATCTGTTAAATCATTAATTCCTAGCCATGTTCTCCCCACTAAAAAGGTCATAAAAGCAGTGAAAATTTAGTTTTTACAGAATAAAATGTGAACAGGCAGGACTTAGGCTCAAAGCCTCAGTGTGTTGCTGTCCCTATCTCAACGTTACAAAAGCACAACCACTGTCCATACCCCAACCACACCTCACCTCACAGTAAATGATCGTTTCCATTTTAAGCATTTCCAAATAATCATTTTCCATACTGCCAGTATAAATATACACAGTATACTGCCATCACTACAATATACATGTTTTACACACTCCTTTTGTTGTTGACATTTACAGGCTGTGTGCAAAATGCCACACTCTTTAAATTCATGCCAACTAATATTTTTACGTCCAGTAGATGTCCTACTAGAGCAAATGAAGCTTCAAGACGCTTTGCGCTGGGGTGAACTAATTGGATGAAAAGCTTCAGTGCTTCATGAAGCTTCATCTGCCTATCACTAGCTATAAGCAATAAACCAGACAGGCAAAACCAAGAAATAGAGGCCGCTGTCACTTAAGAAAAACAACTGCTCAGTTGAGAGTTACTCACAAAGAGCCACGCACGGTGGGGCTGGTCACACTCACAGCAGGCCTTTTCCACGCCTAGACCAGAATCACACACTGATCAGCACAGAGGAAATCCACTAGAAGCCTCTGCCACACCTGCACTGCTCTCCTCCAGCTTATATCACCTCTGGAGGGTAATTGGTGGTAAACGAGGGCAGATGAGCAGTAGGTGTGTCCTAAAGGAGAAGGCAGGGCAGAGAGAGACAAGGGGAGGGGCAAGAAAGAAGGAGGAGGAGAGGAAGAGGACAGCACCACGCCCACACACTCAGAGGATGTGACATCCCCCCCCCCCCTTACATTCACACTATACAAAACACAGAACAAACGCATCACTATGCGCTGCGTGAGAGTGCATCAGCCACCAGATTCTCAGTCCCTTTCTTGTGTTGGATGACCAGATCATAATCTTCCACCAGCAATGCCCAGCGTGGTTGTGGTTGTACATACGTTGGAGAAACGTAAGAGGATTGTGATCTGTAAACACTGTTACTGGAAAGGAGCTAGAGCCCACATAAACGGTGAAATGGGTTAGGGTTAGGAGGGATTTTGCAGACTCAAATGCATGCTGGCATTCCCCTGACCACTCAAACGGGATTTTGGGGCTACATAGCTTCCACAACTACCGCAAAGTTCTTGCAAAAACAGCGATAGTATCCGGTCATGCCCAGGAACCGCTTTAGCTCCCGCCTAGTGGTTGGGGCCGGGTAGCTGAGAACAGCCTCGACTTTCACCTCCACCGGGCAAACCTGCCCGAAACCCACCTGCTTTCCCAGGTACGTGACTGTCGCTTTGGTGAACTCGCACTTAGCGAGATTTAGAGTTAATGAGGCTTCGGCCAGTCGCTGAAACACTGATTGAGGGATAGCCACATGCTCTTCCCACATGTCTGTGTATATCACTACATCATCCAAGTACACATTACACCGAGGCACATCCCCCAAGACCAGCTGCATTAAACGCTGGAATGTGGCCAGTGCGTTTTTCATGCCAAACACCATCACCGTGTACTGCATGAAATGGTTGGGTGTAACAAATGGGGAACCGTCAGAGGCTCTGGGGGTGAAAGGCACCTGCCAATACCCTTTAAGAAGGTCCAGTTTGGAAATGTATTTGGCAGGACCTATATTGTCAATGCAATCCTCCATACGAGGAAGTGGAAAAGAATCAGAGACTGTCAATGCATTTACCTTTCGGTAGTCGGTGCAGAAACGGGGGGTGCCATCAGATTTGGGCATAAGCAAACACGGGGAGCTCCAAAGGCTGTGGCTGGGTTGTGCCCAACCGTTCTCTACTAAATAACTGACTTCCTTCTTCATCACCTCGCGCTTTCCCATGGGGCAGCGGTACGCATGCTGTTTGATTGGGGTTGCATCACCAACATTGATATCATGTTCGGAGACACCAGTACGCGAGGGCACATCACCAAAGAGAGAAGGGTAAGAGTGCAGTAGCCCAAGCACATCTCCGCACTGTGAAGGGGACAGATGAGACAAATGGGCCGTTGCCTCTGCTAAATAAGCCAAATTCGCCAACCGCCCACACTGTTGTCCCTCAGAGAGTACACGCAGGTCGTCATCAGCACTGGCCTCTCTGCTCAGCACGGCGGCAGAGACAGAACTGGGGGTTGCTGTGCTGGCAACAATCTCATGGGTTTCCCTATCATGGTAGGGTTTCAACATGTTAATGTGCCACAGGCAAGTTTTCCTCCTGCGTTCCGGGGTACTGAGGACATCATTTGTCTCGGACACCTTCCTCACTATAACATACGGTCCCGCAAAACGAGTTGAAAGGGCAGAACCGGGCACCGGTAGCAACACTAGGACTTTGTCACCAGACTGAAAATGTCTTTTCACAGCCTTCCTGTCATACCACTTCTTCATGCTTGCCTGCGATGTACACAGGGCCCCTTTTGCTAGTGAGGCAGCATGTTGCCATCGATCCCTACACATCTTCACAAAATCTGCCACGTCAGTTTTTGGAACTCCTCCGCTAAGGAAACCCTCTTTCAGCACTTTCAGTGGGCCCCACACATCACAGCCAAACACAAGGGTAGCTGGACTGAACCCCAAGGACTCCTGGTTGGCATCACGTATCGCACAAAGCACAAAGGGGACACCCTCATCCCAACTCCTGCCCGTGTCGTGGCAGTACTTTTTCAGCATGGCCTTAAGCGTTTGGTGCCAACGCTCAAGTGCACCCTGCAACTCTGGGTGGTAAGCACTGGACACAGAATGAGAAATGCCAAGGGAGATTAAAGTCAGTTTAAACGCTCGGGATAAGAAGTTAGTTCCCTGATCTGTTTGCACTGTTTTTGGGAGACCAAAGGTGGTAATAAATTTGATTAGCGCATTAGTAATGTTTGCCGTGGTGATCCTCCGCAGAGGAAATGGTTTGAGGAACCTCGTGGATAAGCACATTATGGTCAATAAAAACTGATTACCTTCCCGCGTTCTTGGCAACGGACCAACACAATCCACCAAAACGTGTTCAAATGACTCACCAACGGCAGGTATCGGACATAGTGGGGCAGGGGGCACTTTTTGGTTTGGTTTGCCCACCAGCTGACACGTGTGACAGGTAATACCACACCACATCCGCCTTCATTGCCGGCCAGAAGAAGTGCTGCAGAATATGGTCATACGTTTTAGTTATCCCCAGATGTCCTGACCATGAATGATCATGGGCTAATTGTAGCACCTGCTGACGCAAACTAGCCGGGACCACTATCTGTTG